ATTTGAAAAGTGAGTTAATTATATTTTTTTGGCTCAATTTAATCTTTAAATTTTTGTTCAATTTCATTCTCATACATTACATTTTTATTCAAATTAGTTTTGTACCATAAATTGTTTTCTAATTTAGTCCCTCTAGTTTTTTAGGGTAGAAAAATTTTTTTCCTTCTATTTGCCATGTGGCAGAGCCACGTTAGCATGTCAGTGCCATGTCGCACTGGATCAATCACACATACATTGCCAACTCAGCATCATGTCAGTGCTGACGTCATCGCCTTTAACAATGAAAATAGATACCATTAGAAGGAGAGACTAAATTAGAGAAATTTTTAAAATTAAAGAACTAAATTACTTCAATTTTGAGTAAAAAGATTAATTAAACAAAATGGGAAAGTATAAGAAATGCCTTAAGTCTTTTCACGAAGTAATAATATATATGATTTCTCTTAAGCATTGAAGTTACAAAACTTGACAAAGTAATATATGTATAATTTCTTGGTTTATATTTTATTTTATATTCAATTATTATTTTTTGTTTGAATTTAGAAGTAGGTTATCAATATTGAGTTCATTTTGAAATAATACATTTGTAATATCATGTTCTAATTTATGAAATTGAATTCAGATTTTCAATCAAGTCTTTATCAAATAAATGAGTTCAGATAATTAATGAATACTACTAATCCGTTCTGATTAAGTTACAAAGAACTGTTTGGATAACAATTCTTTTTGAATTGCAGCAAATTAAGTTTGTATAAAATTTACCTAGTTATCACTGAGAGATTCATAATGACAGCTACAACTAAAAGAGGAACTCGTCAGAGTGAGAGAATAATGTGAAGATGCTTCAAATTAGTTCAAACCAAAAAGACAACAAATAAATAAAATAATAGCATTATCAGACTTGAAACCTCTTTTATAGTCTTCGAGAGGATACAAGGAAAAGGAGAAGATGCATCCTTTTAGTTATAGGAGATGTTTCATCTGCATGAAATCCACTTTTAAGGATATAGACAGCACAAGGACAGGACGCTCAATCGCCCATGATTTAGCAAAAACAACATCAATTAAAAGTTATACATCAGAATTACCACGAGCATCAGATTGTCAGCCCAACAATATGTTTTGTTCAAATATAATAAACAAGTGCACTGACCAAGCTATGAAGCCTTCCTCTCTAACTGAAAGTTGAACAGACGGGATAACTGAAAAGCTTTGAGTCCAATGTCCCGCTAGTCCTCTCCCGTGATCAAGATATGCATTTATCACCTCCATAGTTGGCTCATACAAAATCAAGCTTTAAGCATTGAAATGTCTTGAATACTATCCCATGCACTGACAATCTCAGAATGCTGAATTAGTTCTGAAGCAGCCTAGGACCTTCATTACTAGCGGAGAAACATTGCCCTGGGTCTTGTCCAGCAATATGTGACACACATAGGTGCCACGAATTGAGTGCATACTGATTACAAAGGTTTGGTTGCAAAGTATTATCAGTACACTATCATGAAATAATGAAAGACAGTATGAAATCTTGCCTCTGAAAACCATTTCCCAGAAGCTGAATCCAACAGTGAATACGTTACTCTTCTCATACAATGGAAATTTTTTACCAGAAGACAGTACTGACTGAAAGATGATGTACAAAATCTTGCCTCTGAAAACCATATGCCTGACGCTGAATCCAACAGTGAATGCATTGCTCTTCTTATGCAATGGAAATTTTTTACTGATTCAAAATCAAGAAATCTGTTAAAGGTAGAAATCAATGGCTATCTCTACTTTTCATATTCTTTATCATAAGAAGACATAATGAGGGAAAGATAAAAGAAAATACAGGCCTATAATGTGACGATAAAAGAAAGAAAGAACTATACATATCAAAACTCACATACCCACTCTGTTGGACAAAGAACACGTCCACAAATGAAAACCTTGAACATCACCATGCACTGTAATGACTGTAGAAAGGCCTAACATGTCAGTGGTTAATCGAGATAGTCCTTGCATAATGCTTGCAAATTGCTAATAAAATGTCAATGGAAAGATTCCTAAGAAGAAAAAAAGGACTAAAGAAAATGCATGCGTGACTGTCATTAAACCTGTCTTACAGTCTACATGCGAATAATTCAAAGTGATAGAAACAGAGAATAGTTTTGATTGCCAGCATCACTGCTTATCAGAGATGGAAGCAGCAACATGACATCTGTATGCTAAAAGCAATGCAGTAAGAGCATACCATGCACAAAGAACTGAACCCAGGTTTCCAAATGAAGAGCTAATGAAGATCAAGAAAGTTGCCTATCCAAATTGAAGGAATCCCCTGTTTGTATTTAGCTTATTTCTTATATGTTCTTTCCCATGTATAGTCCCTTCTGAGCATTTAACTTCTTTCCTAGTTTTGCAAAGGCAGAACTGATATTGGAAAGAGTACTTTCACATGGTAAAAACTGTCTATCTTTCACTTCCAGAAGTAATTTTTTCACCTCAGCTAGGCATGATAATTTTGATGCCCTGTCCAGCTCTGGCTGGTCAGAGAGGTTGCACCAACCAGCGATCAGTATGTCATAAGTTGAAGAATTGGGCAATGCTCCCCTCAATTGCATCTCCTTAAGAAGCTCTCTAGCTTGGGACATTTTCCCTATTTTAGCAAAACCACTGATAAGCAAATTGTAGGTGCCAGTTCTCGGAACAAATCCTTTGGAAATCATTTCACAATAAAGTTTTACAGATTCCCTTTTGTTTCCAATCTTACCATGGCCAGATATCAATGTATCATATGTTGAAGCGTTAGGGTTCAAGCCTTTTTCTTTCATTTGGCTAAATAATTCATCTGCTTCTTTCATCAAACCGGCAGTGGAGAGACCTCTCAGAAGCAGATTGTAAGTGACAATATTTGGTGGAACTCCTTCCCTTAACATTTGAGAATATGTAGCAAAAGCCTTCTCTATATGACTGCCTCTGCAATATCCATTTATAAGCGCATTATAAGTTATTGTGTCAGCTGAATACCCTCTTCGTGTCATATCGTTTAAAGCTGAAATGGCTTTCTCGGTCATCCCTAGTCTGCATAAGACAGTGATGAGAGTGTTGAAAACTGCCTGATTAAGTTTAAGTCCCATGGAAACAAGACGTTCATGCATTAGCAAAATGGCATCAGCCCTTCCATTCCTAGAGGATGCATCAAGCAGAAATTTGTGAATGGCAGTGGTAGGTGAAAAGCCTAAAACCAGCATCTCATTCAAAACATTTAGAGCTTTTTGAATTTCACCAGCTCTACAAAGACCTCTGATCAGAATGTTACAAGTTATGGAGTTTGGCATTAAACCACAACTCTTCATGTCATCCCAGAGGTTTAATGCATCTTCAAACTTGCCCTCTTTGCAGTATGCATTAATCATGGTATTGCATGTAATGACGTCCGGAGCCAGATCCAACTCTCTCATTCTAGCATAAACAGATTGTGCCTCATATTTTCCAAGCCTCAAAAGACCATTAATTAAGACGTTGTACACAACAACATCAAATGGTATATTCTTCTCAGTCATTTCCTTGGCCAAGGTAAGAGCAGCTGAATCCTGTCCTTCTTTGAAAAAGCCATCCATCAGAGATGTATAGTTTACATGGTCAAGTGACAAGCCCTTGGACATCATATCTTTAACTAAAACCTCAGCTTCCCCCATCCTTCCAGCACTTTTCAAGTTGTTCACAAAAGCATCAAGTATAAAATTGTTTTCCTCTAATCCTGCCAGTTTCATTTCATTATACAGATCAATAGCAACTAGTTCTTGACCTGCCTTGAAATATCCATCAATTAGTGCAGCATAAATAAAAACATTTGGCAATATATTTTCACGCACCATTTTCCTCATCACGTTAAGAGCTTCATCAAGCATTCCTTTCCTGATGTAGCC